GATAATTTTTTAAAATCTTTGTCATCCATCTACAACCATGGTTATGACTACTCTGCTGTGCATAAGTGTTGACTGTTCAGATAACGTATTCGATCAGCTGTGCACAAATGAAACAATTTATGAGAATGTTATGTCTGGCCTCGTCGATTCAGCCCTATCCGGATTTAACACCGCTGTCTGCGCCTATGGACAATCTGGTGCAGGTGAGTCCACAATAAAGAACAACCTTAAAAATCTTGATATTTCCTTTTTCAGGCAAAACGCATACACTAACTGGTTCGGAAAATGAGGACGGCCTTGTGCAGAACACATTTCGTGCTCTGCTGGAAACTATTTCTCGGGTAAACATATAACAACCATCACTTGTTCATTTTGCAAGAAACAGATGCAGTGCATGTTAGGCGAATGAGAGGAAGTATATGCTGCGGATATCGTACATTGAAATATACAATGAACGAATTCGGGATCTCCTGAACGATAGCGCAAGCGACTTGCCTATCTACGAAAACAAGGATGGTGTCGCTCAAATAGAAGGACTGAAGGAAGTTGTGGTCACAGAGAAAGCACAGGTCGAAGAATTACTTGAGAAAGCACAAGGTGATCTTCCTTTCATACTTTTTGCGAACAGTGAAGAAGACAGTTTTGTTTTTTGGTGTTTCTCCTTTTTAATTACCATTGCTTTAGTCTTCACTAAAAAATTCTCTTACCTCACTATTTTGCTCAGTTTTTTTTTGAATATTCTTTTGATCGTTTTTTAATGTCTTGGCACAATCTGCAATAATATTATTTTCAAGCTTATTGATCATTGCGCATTTTTGCATTTCTCAATCTTATATCTCGAATCCTCGTAACATCCTTCAATTTACTTTCATAATTGATTTTTCTATTCCAGAAAGGCGACAACTTGCTGAAACTTGCTTGAATGAGAGGAGTTCTAGATCACACACTATCATCAGGCTGACGATAGAATCTCACGATGGTATGCGTTCTTTCACTGAGATTTCTATGCCTTTTTTGAAGAAATTTGTTTG